TCATTTTATGGTTTAAATATTAAAATACGGTTTAGCTGGCGTTTATTAACGTGTTCTACGCTGTTAGCTAACCGTAACAGAACGATTGACTTCAATGTAATAAAAAAAAAAAAGGTTTAGGATTGATTCTCTGTTAGGAATGTCAAAGCATACCGTGATGTCACTGATAGCAACATCCGAAGTATTATCCTCTAATTATCCACAAACTATCACTAATAAACTTTTCATTTGTTACTTTCAATGAAATTTATAAAAGCAGCCTTAAAGAATATCACCGCTACAAAAACTTCAAATAGCATTGAAGTGCTAATTTAATGGTCAATGACCCCAGTGTTGTCTCCATCGGAAATGCAAATCTGCCGAAGATCAATTCAATCTGTGAACTGTTTCCGTCGCCATCGCTTAACAACTAGATAAATGTATACTGAAATTGACGTAATATAATTATATTAAAATATAATATTACAATATTTCAGTTTTACTTTTTATTATATCACTAAAGCTTTTTAAGTCACATTATGAAAATTACAATATACTTTCAATGCTTCATGGAATTACCTTCAAAACAAATCTTTGAAATTATACGCAATAGTAATTTAGCAGAAATTTTTATGCTAACACTATAAGCTATATAAGCTAATCATTTAATGATAGCAGAACTATTTAAGCAAGCATTTCTTTCAACTAATAAATTTATTCCTATTCATACTGCTACCTACCACCTATTTCTGTTACTTACCTTTATTCAAGATCTCAAACGACTATTCTAGAATAATAAATTATTTACTCTCTTAGCATACTAAAAAAAATGCTTACTCGTTGCATCTCCTGTAAGCCTATATGCTTCGATGAAAATTTTGGAAATTTAAATTCACTGGAATTCATCACTCAAATAATCTGATCTAATTTTAGTAAAATAATGTATTTAAAAAAAAAAAAAAACCCAAAATGACCGAAACAGTGAGTTATAAGTTACAACCACTTAAATCGAAAAAAAAAATCGAAATTTATTGATTGAAGGAGGATGATTTATCTATTTTGCTTAATTTATGAGAATTTTTTGCTTTTCAAATTGAAGGGAAAATTATGAAAAATTAAACAATTTGCAAATGTTGCAAAGTGTGTTATTTCTTTCAAAAAGGAAAATTTCTAAAAGTAAAACTTATTTGAAATTCAAAAAGAATTTTTTAAACTTAAACAATTCAATTTACTTGGACTATAATCGTAATGATAGATTAGCATGAGTCAACTCAGTTTTAATAATTATTTAATTTGTTTCATTTACAAAATTCTTCAATTTTATTATACCAATGCCTTACTCACTCTCTAATCGCTAACAATCATTAATTTTTATCCAACATTATTTGATTATTTTTAAAGGATTCTTAAATTACTAACTTTCAATAATTGAATATCACTGATGAGAAAATGTCACATATTGTTTATGTCACCAAAAATCATTTACCGTGTTCTTGATAAAGTTCGTAGTTGGAATTGCTTCCACATCTGATCAAATATTTCTATCAGTGATAAATTCTACTCCAGTTAATAATTCGTTATCACACATTCGAGCTATATTATCATAGAGATATTCTGAAAAAAAAAAAACCTTTTTTTTTTTATTTAGACATAATAAGTAATAGAATAATAAATAAATTTAATGTAAGAATGAAGCATTTTTTAATCAGTGTTATGCATTTCAAATTTTGAAAAACTTTTTTTTAAACAAATTCTTCAAATATGCATTATTTTCTTATTTTGTAATGCAATATGCTTGCAAATATATTTTGAAAAGCATTCAATCATTTCGTACAAGTCAGAAATAAATCTTATCAAACTGAAAAAATATCAGAATTGATCGATCTTTTGATCATCTTTTGATCAATTTACAATTGAATTCTTCTAAATTCGGTTACCATTTTGATTGAATATATTCTGATTTAAAAAAACTCTGCAATTTCTTCAATATGCTTGCAAATATATTTTGAAAAGCATTCAATCATTTCGTACAAGTCAGAAATAAATCTTATCAAACTGAAAAAATATCAGAATTGATCGAACTTTTGATCAATTTACAATTGAATTCTTCTAAATTCGGTTACCATTTTGATTGAATATATTCTGATTTAAAAAAACTCTGCAATTTCTTCAATATGCTTGCAAATATATTTTGAAAAGCATTCAATCATTTCGTACAAGTCAGAAATAAATCTTATCAAACTGAAAAAATATCAGAATTGATCGAACTTTTGATCAATTTACAATTGAATTCTTCTAAATTCGGTTACCATTTTGATTGAATATATTCTGATTTAAAAAAACTGTGCAATTTCTTCAATATGCTTGCAAATATGTTTTGAAAAGCATTCAATTATTTCGTACAAGTCAGAAATAAATCTTATCAAACTGAAAAAATATCAGAATTGATCGATCTTTTGATTATCTTTTGATCAATTTATAATTGAATTCTTCTAAAATGGGATATCATTTTGATTGAATATATTCTGATTTAAAAAAATTCTGCAATTTCTTCAATATGCATCAATTATCTTTACCAAACAAATCAAATTTTTCCCTTACGGATCACTTTTTCTGAAGTTTCAAAGTGATTTTTGAAAGAATAATATATTTGAATTATGTGATATGAATATTTCTACAAAAAAAAAGAAAAAAACGAAGAGATGAATTTAAACCAAAAGATTAATTTTACTTGATGATATCATCACTATCACGTGAAAAAAAAAAATTTAAGCTTTTAAGCTTTTTAAGTTTTATTTTGACAATATTAGCAAGACGCAATTTCTGGCATTCAATTTTCTGCCATCACTTGCTAAAACATTCTTTGTAAGCGGATAAAAAAAAATCGAAAACGAAAAGTCTTCTTCCGGTCAAGTCTAGAAAGAAACCTTGATCTCTTTCGGTATGAACATTTTCCGGTTGCACACAGTTTTATGTTAATCTGTTTTCATCTATATGCTGCATTACAGCATATCTATATTACTCTTCATCCTGAAACTATTCCTGAAAACAAATCAGATTTATGTTCACGCAAAAATTTTATGATTTTTTAGTGGATTTCTAGCATTTCTTGCTGAGACTTCCCGAGATCATGACATCAAAAAAATTTTATACACTAGGATTATTTAACTCATAAAAATTTATGAATACTTTTACTTATTTCTTCAATTTGGTTAACTTATTTCTTGTGATCAGTTCTCGAAGTAATCAATTCTCGAAGTCTTATTGAATAACTTCCTAAAAAGTATCTCTTCAAGTAATTTAATCATATTTTTGCATGCTATATCTCTAAGTTAAGTTGTAGCCAAGGAATGTATGAAAGTAAAAACTCATTTATTTGTCACAAATCACTTTTTACCTTATTTATTTCATCTGCTTCTATTATATCAATTATTTCAATTCTACTTTTAGCAACACAATAGCTCTCAATGCTTTTTTATTTTTTATTTTTGTTATATTTGATTAATTTATTAGACGTAAAATTTTAATTTTCAAATTCATATTTTCATCTGTAACTAAGTAACAATATTTTATTAAAGTATCTTTTTGAAATTTATTTGTTCTTCTAGCTATTCTGCTGGTCTGTTTATTTTCCTATTTTTTTTCGAACTTTTCCTGTAAATGTTACTTTTTCATTATTTGGTATTGTTAAAAAGTAAGTTAATATTTAGCATCGCTAAGCAACAATAAATTGATTTTCAGCCTTCTGAAAGTTGGAAAAAAAAAATTTTTGAAAAATTTTAATTATTAATTAAAGCTATTTGGAAAAGTACTGTAACGCTAGTTTAAAGGTCTTTTTTTAAAAAAAAAAACTTTTAGAATCTTCCTTTTTACTTCTATTTTCTCTCTTATATGCTTCTTTCGTAAAGCAGAAATGTTGTTACTTTTTTTTTTTTTCAAATAGTCAAAATAATTTATTTATTTACTCATTTTAATTTAATAAAAGGTTTCATTTAACCCATTAGACTTATGATTATCAGCAATCCGAGTTATGCAAGGTAAAATTTTTCAGCTAAAATGTTAAATTAATTAAATGAAAAAAATTTTTTCATCGAAATATAAAAAAAGTTTTTATGAAGATATTTAACTTTAAAAAATTTACTGTATATACGCTATCAGTTTTCGAAATTTCTCAAATTTATCATTGAAGATTTTTAAAAAAAAAAAAAGAAATTTAAAAAAACTTTCAGCATTTCAGCAATTATGATTGGATGGATAGCTCTGGTTGATATTCTTTCATAGCATAAATTTACTTTGAAATTTTGCAATGTTCAATTTTTAAAATGTTTATTTAATACTTCTGAAATGTTTTTTAAAATGTTTGACAGTCTCGCTTACTTACGGAGGGCAAAATTCGAATGAAGTTTAAATTAAGCCAAAATATTTTCCTTACTCAAAATTTTTTTATTTAAATTATATGTGAAAATAATTTTCAACAAATTTATGGGAAATTGAAATGATTTAAAGAGTTGAACTATTTTAAAATTCTATTTGTAAACATTTCACTCACTAAATTATCACTGAATTGTGTTTTCTTCCAAAAAATTTCAAGCAAATTAGACGTATTAAATTCAAATAAACTGTTTAATACTTCAAAATAAAATGGTTTGTCGTTTTTTTCGAATTCTATTTCGTTTCTTATTTTCAAATTTATTAAACTATTTGATAAGTAATTTCAATTCTCTTTTTAAGTAATTTCAATTTCATTCTCTTTTTATTTTCATACAATTGCGAGAAAATAATATTGCTAAAATATATGACAAATACAATCTCAAATATATCACTTCTGATAGTTCTACAAATTAAACTTCTAATAATTATGTTTGCATTGATTTTAATTCTTAACCGATTATTGATTACTGATTAATGATTACAGATGAAATTAAATCTTTTTTAATACATACATTTTTCATTGTAAATTTTTTGAAATAAGCTAAAAATTTTTTATGCTTACTGTAAAATTTTTAGACAAAATTATGAATATGGAATTATGTAAGCAAGCAAGTGAATTAGCTAATAGTATTGTATTCAATGCTATTCTCATCCTTGTCATTATCATATCAGTAACAGGAATTATTTTTGAAATATGGGTAATGCTTAAGACAACAAATCATATTTTATTACATCGAAATATTCGAATTTTAATTATCACACATCAATTATGGCTTATTCTTCACTGTGCTGCAAGGTTGTTTCTTCATTTTTCAAGTTTGTGGAAAAATTAAAATTTGTCCTTTCCTTTTTATCACCTACAAGGCAGTAACACAATAATGTTACAACTAAAAATTAAGCACAAAGAAATCATTCATATATAATAAGTGAAAAAAGCAAAACAATAACAAAAGAATGCAGAAGAAGAGGAAATATTTGATAAAATGCGTGTCACTAAGCAAATGACGCATGCACTAATTTCGAAAAGCCCTTTCTAATCATTTTAGACAAAATAAAAACTCGAAGAACTATTGTACTTTTCACTTTTTTGATTGTACTTTTACTTTTTTGATTGTACTTTTCAGTAGAAATTCCTGATGAATTTTGTTATAGAGTATTTACCTACACCTATATGTTAGTGGGATATCAGAAGAAGCACACTGATCCCTGCGGGTATATGATGTTCCCGTGGGAATGTTTGATACGAGGACCGATTATTCTAACATCGTCCTTAAATGTTGCTTCTGTACCTGCAATAGTTAGTGAGCGAGCTATTGCTACATTTTTTTCATCGAAATACGAAAATTTTGGAAAAACTATCGCTGTTGTACTTATCATGGCACAGGTATGAAGAATTGAAAAATTTTCATCAATGATTTAAGTTAAATTAAACAATGTCAAAATGTTTTCATCCATTGATAATTTGAAAATATTATTGAACTAAATTTTGATTTCGTTTATATTAATGAGATGCAGAATGTCTAACAAATTTGGCTAAATAATGATGTTAATTTGATCCTTTGAGATACAGTCTCAAATGATATATTTAAAGCAATATAAATCCTAGAAAAGAAGCCTACCACTTTAATAAATCTGTAATATTTTTCTATAGCAAATACAATTTTTCAGACTGTAATTGGAATTGGGTGCGTTTTATTTATTTATGGCAATTTTTCATTGCTTAAATATGGAATGATGGTTTACTGCGCTCGAGCAAGTAATAAAGCAAGCGCAAAAGTTATTGTGGTTCTTAGCTTTCACGCAGCCATTTCTTTCATCTCAGCATTAGTTCTTCCACTTTTATTTTCTATTAACAAGGCAATCAATTAATCGAATTTTAAGCTTCTCATATACTAACAGATAAATTACATTTTTATAAAAAAATGAGTTGGCGCTAAAATTATGCAAATATATCCATTAACAGATAAATTACTTAAGAAATTATTATTAAGAAAAGGAAATTCTTAAATTTTGCTAAAAAAATTTTTTTTTCCAAGAGTCAAATATTTATCAGTTAAAACCAGTTGAAATACCTAAAATTTAGGTAAAAAAAAAATAGAAGAAGTAAAATAGGCCAATCTTTAATCTGTCCCATAAATGACGTTAGTTATTATAAATGAAAATGCATTGTAAAGTTAATTTCCGCCCAATTACCTCATCTAAACTTTTGACAATGAATATTTACTTGCATTCGACATTCTTAGACATTCTTAGAAAATTGTATGGCAAAGGTTATCTTTTTAAATTATTTTTTGCTCTAAATTTTACTTTGTAGTTGACACAAAAAAAACCCACAGATTTCATCCTGCTAAATTTCAGAGATTACATCGAAACAAAATTCACGTTAACTTATCACATCGTTATCAAATCATGGAAAATATCAATTCCCTTCAGACATTATTACCAATGGTAGCATTTCATGCGCTACTCCTGGCAGTTTACATGAGTGCACACTGTCTGTACTACACTTTCAATTCCACTATTCCCAAATTTTCTCTCACAACTGCTATTTACTTGGAATGTTCGTTTTATCTTCAAATATAATTCAGATTTTTTGAATTTAGAAAAGATTTGTATATGTGAATGAATAAGCATGAAGCAGTATGTGTTGAAGTTTAATTAAAGTTAAATTAATTCAGCTAATAGTAAAGATGTAAGACTTGAAATGCAAAAAATATGAAATACTAAAATTTGAACACAGTTCAACGAAAATATTGACCTTATTATTACGCATATCAATGATTGCATTCGTTCTGATTTAGTTTACTAATTCGAAATTGAAATTTTAATATGGACATATATTAAAGATAAAACTTTAGAGTAGATACAATATATTACCACTACAAAACTCTTACGGTAATTTTGTTATTGAAAGTTTGAAACATTGCTGAGTTATCGATATCGTATCGAATTTCTAAAATTATGTCATCATCGTGTAATTTGCATCGTTTATTAAGAAAACGAAATTTTTAGAAACTATTTTATGAAGTAATTTTTTAATACTGGTAGTGTGAGTTCGGAAATTTTTATGCAGGTGAGTTTTATAAACAATTTTACTGAAATTCAGGTGTACAACTAACTCCATTATACGCATTAACCTTGCCAATTGCTATAGTATGGACAGAAAAATATGTCAGGAAAACTGTTCAGGAAAACCGTCGGAAGGTTATGGAATTAACTGGCAGTGAAGTAGCTGACCATTACTTTGTATGTATTTTGATGCTTTTTTATCATTTAATTTTTAGAAAGAATTGTTAGATATATGAATTATTAAGGAATGAAAATCGATTCACAGTGAATTTTGAAAATATCATTTGTGTTTTTTTCAGGCAGTTTTCGAAAGATCTGCAGGAAAGAATGCTTGAAAATGGTAAAAATTATTTAAGAAATTTTTTTTTTTTTTGGAATTCTCTTACAACAAATATTTTAAAGAAACGTTATTGTCTCGAAAATACTGTCACTTTTGTTTTCTTTTTTTCAGTCAAAGTTTTTCAGTTCAATTCTTGTAAACATCAACTGAATAAATTCATTTACTCATCGAATAATTTAATTTTATTTTAACAGGTGCAATACGATCGATTTAAGGAATTAATTATTATTTTTATTTTCTTTCTTTTTCGAAATTATTACAATTACTGTTAAAAATAAACTGATTTTACTGCTAAAGTTTGTAGCTTTATTTGTTTCTTAATTTAAAAATAAGTGACAAGGAAGTAAGATGAGTGACAGTTGACAAAACAATTGCATCACAGTCATTTAGTTGTTTATTTTTAGTAATATTGTCAAAGACTTTACTGCTTAAGCAATGAATTTGCATTCATTAGATTGATTTTACGAAGAAAAATCTTTGCAATCGCTCATTAGCAATGTAATTTACTGTCATTGTCATATTGCGCTCCACCAATTTAACACTTTTCGGTGGTATTTATTAATAGAAGTGAACTTTAAATATTGCATTGCTACTATGCAAGAAGAATCAAACTTTGATCTAATATGTGAATTTGATTCATACAGACATGTCATAGGTTTATTAATTGTGACAAAATTTAGATGGAATTTTGTTGTTTCAAAAAATTTCTCATCCAATGTCTTTTATTCCTTTAATTGAACTGCAATCTGAACTCGTTTCATAAAAGCTAACTCAGTTTAATTGTGGCTGTATGATTCACAAAAAGCATTCAAATTCTGTTATCTTTTTCTTCGCTTATTTTAATAAATAAAAAAAAAAAAAAAAACATTTCAAAAGATAATTTTTTGTAATAAATTTGAGGAATAACCCATCGTAGTGATAGCTTCTTTAAAGCATTCGTATTAACCTTACTGTAAATAAATAGGAAAAAACAATTCTACAAAATAACTTCATAACTGAAGATTTCATGCTAAATTGCTTGTTATCATTAATTCAATCAGGTCACTTCGTGAAATTAACAACAGTGTATGCCGGTGTATTTTAGAAATTCCGTTTAATTCATTGGGAAAAAAATGAATGACAGAAAGAAATGTAAATACTATAATGAACGCATGCAAGCATATCGGATGATTTAGGAATTAGACAATTTTAAGCTGTCACTGTAGTCAATTTCACCGATAATTACTTCATTAGTAATTATTGGTGAAATTATCATATCACTGTCGAAGAATTCTTTTATCAATTTCCATTCTTTTATCAATTATCATATCACTCTCGAAGAAGGAATGATATCAAAAATACTTTTTCACTTCAACGTGTCAAAATCGGAAAGCTATGATATCTGCGCCATCTATGCATCATTTTTCGCATTGATATGTTTAACGCAATGCAGACTTTTGTAAGTTTTGTTTACTCATAATACTACAATATAACTCCATTACTAGGTTATCAATTGTTGAAGCATATATTTAAGCTTTTGAGAGTTACGCAAAGTAAATATGAAAACAGTGGGGCATTTTATTTAAATTTATAACAACAAAATTGGAATATTCAGCATTTCTCATACTACGCCATTTCAGTCTTCCAGGAAATTCTCCAAAATGAATTTTGCAAGATCAAGTTTTTTATCGTTTTCCACTACGAATGAGCTATCAGTAACCTGAAATTGCATATAAAGAAGTGATACTTACTTCATGACTTTTAGTTACTTAAGCGAACCATAGTTGTGAACAATTATCTCTTTAGAACTTTTCATTCCTTTGTCACACACATTACTGGTGCTTCCTAATGATTGTTTCAATCAAAATTTAAAAATATTAACAATCATTTCTTTCAGGAAAATTCGAGAAATGTTATCGTTATCATAACAAAAGAAGTCGAAAATTTCTTATTTCTTCAGCCTTTGAAAATTGAACCTTTACAGCAAACCTTTCCTTTGTAATTTATATTTTGAAATCAATAACCATAGCTAAAAAATTTGATTCCACTTACAGAGGATGCGATAGCTATTAAATTGATCAATTCTCCACGCAATTCTTCATCGAGAAGAAAATAATAGTCCTCTAATGTATTATGTTTGATTATGCCTTTCTCGAGCTGTAAAATGAAACATTTATTTGCATTTTATTTGCTCTCTTTCTTTGATAACAAAATTTTAGCGTATTGTTTTCATATTTCAAAATTTTTATGTTTAATTATGTCAAAAAGCTGTCCTCTCTATCACTCAAATATTTTCATGTTTATAAGTTCGATTGTTGAAAAAGCTTGAAGCAGTCATAATTTTAATTCCCGACTTACTTCCTGAATGATTTGTTGTTGCGGTGCACAGTTCGAATGTCGCTGCTTCAGAGAGGCCAATACTTCCATCAACTAAACATATAGCTCGTTATCACATTATCTTGAAATATTCTACTGAACTGATAAGTAACTCTGCTAAGATCTTTGCAGAATCAAACCTAATGATATGTCCATTGTGTCTCATTTGTAATCGTTGTGATGGATCTAATAGCAATGTTACCATTTCGACAACAATTTAAGATACTGGACAGAGGTGCCATTCTTATTTTAAAATTTGTTTACTTCAGATTGTGTTGTTGTTGTTGCTGCTGCTGTTGTTGCCGCTGTTGTTGTTGTTGTTGTTGTTGTTGTTGTTGCCAGCCTTGCTATTCTTCTTGCTGCTCGCAGTATGTGTCTTCCTTCATTATATAGCATTTTGCTATGTAATGCACCAGCACTAATCCCATTCAATTCATTTGCGAATAAAATTAAATGACAAATACTGAATCCACCAAGCAATTCCATAATAATTTTCCAGCTATGCATTGTTCTATTGTTTAGAATGTTTGCAAAGAAGATAATTTTTCCCTCTGCAAAGTTTTATCTGAGAGATAAAATACTCAATGTGAACGATTATTTTCATTCTAATTTATGAATCAAATATGTTTGATAATGAACAAAAGGATGTGAACTGTTTTATTGCTCAGTTAAATAGGAATTTGTTTGGATATATTTTCTTATCAATTATTACATTAATTCACAACGATGCATCGAAATTAAAAGATGACAACTCTATCAATACGAACTATCAAACATTTATTTCGTTGGTTCAAATTATGAATTCATGAAATGCTCAAGCAAAAAAATAGGAAACAGAAAGTGGTAGAAAAAGGAAAAATTTGGAAATGATAAATGTTACACACTGTGTGACAAAATTTTTACAGTTCTTTATAAAGACTTCCGAAATTATCAAAAAGTCTATTCAGCCTTTCATAAATATTGTTATAATCAAATCGACGGTTATTCTTGTTAAAATTGAGCAGCTTAAACTAAACAAAATTTCGTAAAATTTATAAGAATAATCCGTTTTTTTTAAACTGAAAACTTTTTTTTTTCATTCATTAGCATTTGGTTAATTTTGTTTTATTGAATTTTCGTCTTTGGTTTTTTTTGTATTCATTCAGAAAAAGCTGAACAACCAATTGTATTAAATGACAGTAACTTTCTACATAAATTATTTTTCTATTCTTAACGGGATTTTTCTACAATTTTGAATAAATCAGCACTTGCCAATGTTTGATTACTTTATCAGAAAGTGAGGTAAGTAAATTAAAAATAATGAAAATTAAAAAAGCAAAATTTATAGGTGAAACCACAATGATGTTGTTGTTGTCTTTCGGTCTTTTTTCATCAACGTTAATTGGGAAAGGATCTTGAAGCGAACAAAAACTATTACAAATTTTTATGATTTTTAAAAAATTCAAAAATTTAAATTTGAAATTCTTAAACTGAATTAAAACCATGATTAATTGAAAGTTTTATTAATTTTTGCTGATGAATTTTTGCGCAAAATTTAATTACAAGAGCGTATTTTAATATTTAAACTATAAAATGACCACACAATATATGACCCGCTCTGCTGCAATGCATACAACATAACCAATTAAGTTCAAAATATTGCTATTTTTAGCAGTTTTGGCATTTAATTAAAACCAAAATTGATAATTTAGAACCAATTTCCTTGTTTAATGTAAGAAAACTATTACAAATTTTTAAAATTTTTAAAAAGTTCAAAAATTTAAATTTTAAATAAAATTTAATTTTAATTCTTTAATTGAATTAAAGCCATGATTAATTGAAAGTTTTATTAATTTTTGCTGATGATTTTTTGCGCAAAATTTAATTACAGAAGCGTATTTTAATATTTAAACTATAAAATGACCACACCATATATGACCAGCTCTAGTGCAATACATATTTGTAGTTTTGGCACTTAATTAGAATTAAATTTTGTAAATTAAAATTTAGTTTGGTTCATAACTGCTATTACTTCACAACTACTCTTAGTTTCGCTTTTTCACAAGTAAAGAGAATTCACTTTAGAAAATATATTTGCACATGTAATTAATTTCTTGTTTAATAATTCTTCAGAAACACTTTTTCACATTTGAAAAAGTCGTATAAACTACAACTAAACTGCTCATTAGAATCTACATGAACGCTTGGTTACTATATTTCACTTAGATTAAGAAGAGATTTTTTTTGAAATCCTGCTTGTCTGTACGTCACACTGAAATTTAGAAATTTTTTATGATCAAATTCTTAATCAGAAAAACAGAAAATTTATGTTACTCAATGAATGATAAACAATAGTCTTTTTTGCGTATTCATGCAAAGTACTCACATTCTCTCCCCATTCACTTTCACTAAAGTATGTCGTTGGTTGGGTTTCCCTTTTGAAGAGGGCATATAATTAAGACCAGTAGAAAATCCTGCGCTCATCCCCCTCATTCTTACTTCATCAGCAATTTTTTCCCGATCAATAATTCTCTTTTGTTTCCTGCCAATGATCGTATTTTTTTTTTTAGTGATGGAGTTCCTCCTCTCAAACTAGTGAACTAATATCTCCTCTTCCACACCATAATTATTCCTTACAATTTGGTAAGTGTGGTCCTGGCG